AGGAGGATATGAAACGAAATCATTTTTTTAGGTTTTATATATACAGTTGAAAAACCAGAAATCATAAATTACTACATTAATACCATAGAATTCCACTATAATTTATCAAGCTTAGTAACTAAGCTGTATTTCAGTCTCAAATAATTTCAAATTCTGAGAGGACTAAAGACACAGCCTACCTACATGAAATCTTGGGTCGAAAGAAAGCGATGGAGTCCAAACACATTAAAATGGCTGAGAAAGCCACTAGGGTGATATTCTGAGCTTTCGATTGGTTATTCATGTTATATATAGAAGTAAGTGTATATAAGGGAGTGTTTCCTAAAATGGAAAGAGGTGGGTAGTGTGCCACGGTGTTTGATTTATCACATGAGCAATATCTTAGCAAATTGAAAAGACAAGAGGCTCTTATTTTATATTCTATCCCGAGTTCCTAATTCGTACAAAACTATAGACTTAGTATTTTGACATCACAAACATCTAATTTGAACCAGTGCTGCAATGAACATACCACGTGACACACAAATATCAATATTTAACTGTATGTTTTTAATATTTTCTTTAAAATTAAGAAATTGAGTAAGGTATGATACTAAAATTTGAATTATAATCTACAATTTGATACATTTCATTAGGAGACTCAACACTCAAAAGAAATCAGATATCCCAAGATTTATGCATAAATAATCACATAATTTTCAAATATAAATAATCCAATGTACATATACCAAAAATAAAAACTGTTAGAAAAGTAGGGTATTTAAATAAATGAAAAGCTTACAATAAGTTAGTAGTCTTTCTTGAGAGTTTTAATTATTAACTCGCAACTTAAATTAATTTTTTTAAGACACCACAACACTAAAAATTATGTCAAAAATCAAAGAAATCTGAATTCAACAAAACAAAGCTAAATGAAGAGCCTTTCCATTCCCATGCACTCAGGTTAAGTGCCAACTCAACATGTCACTAAATTCAAAAACAAGTTTTGATGAATTTTTTTAACTTAAAATTTCTTAGATAGCAGGAATAACATTAAATGTCCTTGTTACAAATCATAATAATATGAACTCTTTAACCTTTTATGAAATTTTCATATTAAATACTAAATCATTTATAATGTTGTTTTTTTTAAAATATAATTTTTCGTTTTGTGTTCCAAGTAAAACAAAAATCCTGAGATAAAGTTTAGATACACTATCACAGAACAATAATTCTTCAATCCAACTTTTGTTTGTGAAAGAAACACACACACACACAGCTTATTCTATAATGAAAGTTCCAAGTTGATTCACGATTAGCAAACTTTACACATTTCTTGTTTTGATATAATTTCTAATTTTATGTATTATTTTGGCTGATTTCCAGTTAATTTGATGATAAATATTCCTCATGTATTATGTGTTTGATCACTTCTAGGTATTTAAATTTCTACCTGTTTCATCAACATAAACTATTTCACAAAACTGTCAGAATACTATATGGATTACTTCAAATTGTATTAAGCATTTACCTAATATAAAAATTATGATTTTTAATGGGTACTTATGAAGGACAAATGACTGGCCAAATGGGAATAAAATCCTCACAAAACATGTATTCTCACATAAGCTATGAAGTTGAATAACTCGTGTTTCATTAAACATGCACACTAGATAAATATGAAAACACCAGTGACTAGGTTTATTATGATAAGCACAGTTCTCACATAAGGTCTATACTACATACCTGAAGTTTTCCCCAAAGCCGACATTTGTCACAGCCCACACAGTCCATTATTCGAGAAATATTACGGAAATGCTGCCTAAATTCTTCCTATGGGTAATCATAAGATGTTTATTTTTAGCTAATCTAAATTCTAGGTAATATTTCACAAAGTTAAATACATATAATTTTGTCCTTTCAGTGAAAACCAACCAAAGTAAAATCAAAATGACTAACCAGCAGTTACTATTAAAATTGAAGCTAAACTTCATAGCTTAGAGTACTTTGCTTTCTCAATGAGTATGATTTTATAGTCAACATACACATCAAAAACTATTCAATTCTACAGTTATATTTCAAGGTACATATCTTGATTGAATTGTATGTTTGTGTAATAAATATTTCTAGATAAAAGATCAATTTGATATTCCAACATCCATATATGTATCAAATATAGAAGCTTTCTGTAAACTTTCAACAAAGTATTCTCTACTGTAAACAGCTGTAGGTAGTAAATATCAAACCACAAAACATACAATAGAAAAAAAAGGGACTTGCATACAAACGAGTTTTGGTGCATACTAAAAATAACTACTGAACACATATTCCCTCAGTCTTAATACTGTATAATTTCTTGCAAAGAGTTTATGGCCAGCAATGTGATTCCCTTTATTAACAAATAATGATAAAAAAACAAACTACCTTTAATTTTTTGGCTCCTTCATCTTTGCCTACAAACATTACACTTTCCTGGAAATGATCTGGAAAAGATCTGCACAGAAAAACAACATACAATAAATTGTTAATCAATCTAGATAAAAATCAAATATTCAAACTCATGAGATAGCATTGTGGACAGTTAACGATCAGACTTGCCAATGGCAGAAAATTAACGATGAGACTTTCCAGTGTAGGACAAATTATTTCACAAATAAACAGGAAATCTGTACTGTTCAGCATGATGGACAACTGATAATCAGACTTTTTACTGTAGAAAAAGCTATTTCTCTAGTAAACAATAAATGTGTGATGTTCAGCATGTTGAACAATTAATGATGAGACATTTCATTGTAGGAAGAGTTATTTCTCCAGTCTAATGTTGATTATTTTAATATTTTATATTATCATTCACCATATCTACCATGTTGGTTAGTGTAACACATTTTACAGCCTTTATATCATTATCCCTATTATGTTATTTTAATTGTCAACAAAGTATTTATGGTAATAAGTTCACACTAAAGTTAAACCTAATATTTATATTAGAATATGTCAATGTTTGTTTCACAAGGTATGCAAATCTCACCTTGCATACATAACTTGGGTTCTACTGTTTGAGGATTTTTAATTAATGAAAATCAGTGTTAGTTCCTTTTTCTTTAGTTTACCCGAATTTTTTTCTCCTAATTTGCTAAATATTTAAATACAGGCACATGAACTACTTGTAACACAAAAAGCTACCCTGTCACTGGGCAAGGCTCATGATTTGGCAGAACTGTTATTAAACAATGGGAAAACATGGACCTATATATATTCCAAACAACAGGGCAAACTTTAAACCTAAACTGTAGTTACTTCACAACAGAATTTATCAGTTATCAAAAGTTACAATATACGTTGTATGAATTCCTAGACCATTTGTAATCACAATATTTGATCAAAAATCATTTATGTAATCTTTCATTAAATAGTATATATAGTTTGTTTTACATACTTGACAATAGACAAAAAGTCCTTCACAGCCATCTGGACCTCTTTGTCTTCTTCATCTAAACCAGTATAGAATAGTTCTCTCTCCAAGTATGGAGCAGCTTTAGCCAAAGCTCGCAACTCTAGTAAGTACACAAAGTATAAGTTCTTAAGCCACTGCGGCCCTTCTCCAAATGTTTGTTGTGGATCAAATCGCCGTTGAAACTCCTTCAAGTTTATACTCCACTCTCCAGATCCAAAACTATTCCTAACTGAATAATTACAATTATTTTTAAAAACCAAACAACAATAATAATAATACACGATATTCAAAATATTAAATTTCACTGCAGGGTGTAAATCTGCAATTTCTACTCAGAATTTATCCTAACTAAATCCAACTGCTAAAACAGCAAGTAAATGATAAAGGTATTTTCTTAACATATTTAGCAACTTTATGGACCTTCATTTTCTGCCTTTCACTCTTCTGTCTCATCATGTGATACATGTTTGAAAATTGTTGGTAACTGAAGTTACAGAATGGTATTATTTATACCAAATACACCTTAAAATCATGCACAAGTTACGAAAGCATTTTTTTACACTGAATTTATGTAATTATTTTGCACAACTTTCATGAAGTGCTGTCATAATTTTTATCAGTTTTATCGTATCTTCACACGTTTTGATAGAATTTCTGGTAAAATGAATTAAAATTTGACTTTGGTTCTTCTTACTTAAAATTACATACCAAATATATCAAGCAGATCTGTTAAAGATACATTATTAAAGTAACAATAAAAAAATATGACACTAAAGAACCTGTCCAAACCCTTGAAGAGAAGAAAACTTTTTTTTAGTTTTATTAACTGAACAGAGTGTATTGATAAAAGCCTGATACACCATTTTTCAAGTATGTAAAACCAGGCAAGGGTTTCATTAATCAGTAGTACTTCATTGAAATAATATCAGAACCATAACCACTATGGAAATAACATTGTCATCACAAGAGGTATGCCTTAATACAAACAACAAAATTCACAAAAAATAAAGTAAAATTATCATCATACAAATCTTAAAATCAATTTTCCAAAATCAATATTCATCAATAAAAAGGAAAATATTAAGTAAAAAATGAGAATTTGTTATATAAATAAACCAAGAATTAAGGTATTTTTCAATTTTAAATAAAGAATAAGGGCAAGAGTAAAATCAACCAACTTGGAAATTGGAAGGAGTTTGTAACGTACTTTATCTATAACACCAAAGTATGTATGAAAACAATAACACTCTTGCATTATGTTCTGTTTAAGAATACAAAGAATTAGCAATCTATTGAAGCAATGCTGGTTAAAGCTATTACACAGTAAGAAAGCAAAAACTGGTCAGAGAGAAACAAATGTAAAAACCAGACACAAATGTGACCCAAGTATGTTACTCTAAAGTTCTACCTTGCACTTCTCCAATATCACAATCTAGCCAATGAAATACTTGTTATAAAACTTCAACCATTATAAAATAGAAATTACTCTACTTATGTTTCAATGCTACAATTTTATCAACATTAGTAACTCTCTCACACACACACACACTTTTAAACTTATTTTTTAAAATGTTTCATCTCTAATGTATGACAGAGATATCCAAAGAAGACACCTACTAGGCATCAGGTACTGTGCACATAGGTGGATGTTGATACTGGTGTGAAGTCCAGATATGGCTCGGTAGAATGCTCGCTTCTCAAGACACATGGCTATGAAAAGCAGCATAAATTCAATTACTGTAAAATCCTTTACAGCAGTGTTTTCCAAACTTTAAATAGCAGCATCCCCCCTAACTCAGCAAAGATTTTGTTGCACCCTCCCCTTCGCATTAAAACAATTCTCATAAATGGTAAAAACAAAATCAACATTTTCTTTAACTGTTTTTAATAATTTTTTTTAAATGAAAAAAATGCTTGTAAGGAGTGAGTAAATGTGAGAGCAAATATAAGAGTGATAGTTTTCTCAGGTTATCCTCGTTTACAACTCTTTGGTTTCTTCCGTTATTTTTGGGCTCTCCCACCAAAAGCCTCCCCACACACACACACAATTTGGAAAACAATGCCTTACAGTGTTCAACTTTAATGGTAAAATATCACCATGTTTAACTTTGCATAACTGATTCATGCCATTTATACCATAATAGGTAGCCTTAAATGATATTCATTGTGAGAATATTAAACATAAAAAAATGAGTTTAATAAATTTACTTATTAAAAAATTACATATAAACTGAGCAGATGTCCAAAGATCGTAAGCTTTATATAACATTTTGAAAGAGTTATTGTACAAACTAAACTGTCTTTCTGTGTAAATATATTAAACCAAAAAGTGTCACATATTGTAAAAGTATATACATAATATCACATAAGAGTCCAGGTCTTGGACTTGTACGTGTATTGTACACCTCTTGATATAAAAATACATAACTTTAGACAAGTCCAGATTGTTGCTATTATATACATAGTTACACATAGTTGAAATATGAAAATTTTAAAAACAGCTAACAAGGGATATAAAAAATACAATAAAACTACCACCACTGTTAACATGCCATCATCAAATTTACATATGAATTTACTGTAGTAAAAATTGTTTATATTATTCTACATTATGCTGCCTACTTGAAACTGTGGTTTTTTGAACTTTTTCTTTCCGTGTTTTTGAAAATATGCAAATCATTATTTATTCAATACATTCAAGGAAATGATTAAAACCATTCTTAAAAACAACTTTTGCACATACCATTCAGATTTTTTGATGTTGTATATGGACCATACCCCTTACCAGGCCTGCAAGACAAATAAGAGACTCAGTCAACAAATATTCTAAATATTTTTTGTGATTGTTTCACCCTTGAATTTAAAAAATAAAACTTCATGGTTTAAATTAAAAATTTATGTAACCAATCTGTTACTGTTTGTTTTCTTTTATTCAGAATTTTGTTCATAGTTACACAAATCTTATTTGTGCATAGCTGTATATAATTTTATAGTTGATGGAAAAGCAACTAGTCAAGCCAACAGCACCCAACTCCAACTCTTGTGCTATGCTTGTCTGATAAATAGCAAGATTTGATTGTCATTCTTACAACAAATCAATGTGCAGAGCACATTTTTGAAGCAACAGACCACGACCCATGAATCTTTGCCATAGATATATATACATAGTATAAACTGTAAAAAATTAATTTCTGAAAATACAGTATCTTTTTCATGTGCTTTATGCAAATTCTGTAATGTACTGTGTACAAGTAATCACTGGTGTAGAGTTTATAAGTTACAATTAAATATTTTGTTTAAATTGAGATGTCTGCATTGTGATATCAGATAAGTAGAATCATATTCTCTTCATTTGTTAAGACTATTTAAAGCCAAATATAATTTTTATATGAAATATTTAAATATTTTGTAAAGTCAATAAGTCAATGTATTGCCTTTTTTTTTCATTTAAAATTTTTGCACAAAGCTACACAAGGGTTATCAGTTCACAAATGTCCCTAATTTTGAACAAACAGATTAGAGAGACAACAGCTAATCAACATCACCCACTGCCAAATCTTGGTTTCCTTCTGTCGTATAAAATAGTAGGATTTGACCATCACTCTTTTAGTGCACCCACAAACCTAAAGTGTGGAGCACATTTAAGTAGCAATGGTCCAAGAACCATGAACCCTTATATCCACAGTATGCTACTTTAAGTTCTTTCAAATACATATATTTTTTGTTGTTGTTATTTGACAAATTTCAAGAAAGTATCAACAAAGCTAAAACACACACAAGAACAAATTGCTTAATGTAAAACAAATATATTGGTTTAATCAGCTGTCTTCATTGATACTAAATAAAGTAGCAGGTTTTAATATCAGTTATTGTTTTGTGTCATGATTATATATGAACTACCAACTCTTGCAAAACCTGAATTTTTCAATGATACTCTACAACATTTTAATAGTAGGCTTGAAAAAAATACAATAAATTAGAAAGAGCCACGTGTGACACAAAAAATGTAAATTTATATCCATGATCTATATGACTGCAAGATCTTTTACATGTAATAAAACAATTTTTACTTAAAAAGAATATACATTTACTTCAGTGTTTCACAAACATCTTGGTTGAACATCTGAAAATTTTTCTGTTAATCTTTCTTGTTCAAGATAAAATAATTAGCATTTATAACAGAAGCTCTTAATCAATAGGTTACCTGTAAAAAATCCCAGAAAATAACCATAAAATTTTCCACATCATCTTTTTGAATGGCAGTTTACAGCCAAGTGTCAATATACACATACAGCAGTCATTTAATAAGATGAAATATGCAAGTTTTCAAAGCACAAACAAGTTGTACTCTTTAATATTCACATTCCTACTTAGTATCAAACTATTAGGTACACTTAATACAAACATTTGTGTTAGCTTGCCTAAATCTCCATTAGGTACACTTAATACAAACATTTGTGTTAGCTTGCTTCAAACTCCATTAGGTACACCTAATACAAACATTTACTTCAAATTCTGTTAGGTACACTTAGGAGATAAACTTTTGTGTTAGATTACTAAAAGCTCAGGTAATCTTGAGACAGAAATATATTTGTGTTAGCTTACTTAAAACAGTTCTCTTCATAAATACTTCTCCAAATGCGACGAGCTGATGGTCCCTTATACCCTGTATACTTTTCAGGATTTATCAGCAGGTCTACATACTGCATGCCTTGAGATAATTCATCTGAAACAAAAATTGGAATTACATCAAGTACAAAAAAAAATATATTCTTTAAAACAAAAAAGTACAACATACAGATCTTCGTTGTAAGTCAAGATTGTGATTATACTTATATTCACTGCACTGAAATTTAAATTACCAAGTGCTTAAAAAGGGGGGGGGGAGAGAGACTGAGTCCATAGCAAGTTTGTTATTCCATTATCAAAGTTGATGCATGAGTAATGTGAGAAACACTGAACAATGTATGTGTGACTAATACAGCAGTTAATGTGGCAGCCAGCCAAAAACATGACATTTAGTAATCATTATACAATACCTGTGTGTAGGATAGTTTGGCATAGTCACGTATATTATATATATTTTTTATAATCATTAAATTATGAAGAAATCCTCATTAATTAATGACAAAAAATTTATATTAAGGAACTATAAAGTGCATACACACTTTAGTAGCTATTTTCAAAGAATGAAAGTTTTGTTTTCACATTCATACAAATATACATGGAATTCTTACCTTCAATTTCACAAAAAATATCCTGAGAGTCATCATGTTTTTGCCACTGTTTGAAATCTTCTTTACTCTTTTCACTGTAATAATTGGATGTTGCATTAACTTAGCTCTCATAACTTGTACAGAAATAAAAACAGATACAGAACCTTCTACATTTAAATAGTGTTCACCAAAATATTTTTAATTTACAGACAGCCATACAGCTTACAAAACATCATTAGAAAAATTTATCAGGTAAGCTACAGAAGTATCAATTCTACAATTCTTGAAATAACCTCTAACAGTACAAACATTACTTAATACAAATGTTGATGGAAGCGTTCTTTTTCAGCTGTGTTTGCAGGTTATGATTTTAGGTAAAATGTTCCATAAGTTTTAGCAAATTTTGACAGAAAACTCACTAGGTATTTAATAAACCATAAAACATATTAGCACAAAAGGAATTCATTTACTTTAAATAACATTATACATTTGCTTTCTTTGTTGTTTCTTTTATTAAAGCTATTACCAAAATTAAAATTATCATAACTTAACAGTTATACAAAATATATAGTGTCCTACTTCCTGGGTTTCCAGTAGCTTTCATATTTTTGATGTTCTGTATTTGATTTAGTGAAGATATTGTAATGTATGCAATATCTTCAATTAAATGCCTTGCTTTATTGACCACTTCTTAAGATTGTAGTATTATGTAAACTGCTACTGCCTTTGAAAAATGTGAAACACATTAGCAGGGTGTTATGTAGTTATGAAAAAATTTGTGTTTGCATACATTTATTTTGTGCCAATGACAAACTGATAACCAGTCACCTCAGTCACTTTTTATCATTTTTCAAATACAAAAACAAAATTACTGTCCTGTGGCTTTTTGGTATTTCAAACCTTCAGTCTTTACCTGATTGTTTTATCAACAGCTCCAAGCCCCCCATGGTTTTCATCACAGTTATCTTCTTCCTGAGCTTCTTTGGAATACTGAAACATTTGGAAACACAGCTTAACTACAATATCAAATAGAGAAATCTACGGAAACACATATTATAAATCACACAACATAAGGTTATTACCTAAAAACAAACAATAAGCCCATCATTAGCAGTGACAGACAAAACCATGTGTCAGCTAAGAGACTACACAACCAATCAGCAATACTGACAGTAGTAAAAAACTAATTTCCCAAAGCAAACATCACATGCATTCAACAATAGTTGTAAACAATAATACTCATTTACCAAAGCTAACAGCCATCATAACCCATCATCAAAATACTTACAAACAATAATACTCATTTACCAAAACCCACAGATACAACAATACTTGTAAACAATAACACATATACATCATGGTCAACAGGTATTGTAAACTGTCAATAATACTTACAAGCTGGAAAAGCACTCATTGAGTGCAACCCCTGCCCCATGATTTTTCAACTTTTGTAGCAAGTAACCTAAAATGTAATTTCTATCTCACTTAGTTTTGAGTTTGCCAATTTTTCAAAAATCACAATTTGCTACCATTATAAGAAATATGGCTGACCTTCAATGTGACCTTGACCTCTGTACTACATTCACAAAAATTTCATGTTATTTGACTCTAAAAATGTTAAACAAAAGATCTCATTCACAAAGAATAAACAACATTATATAACTGAAAAGCTTTCATTTCTGTACAATGCAACTATATATATATATCCTAAAATGTTTTTTTAAGTTTCAAAAAATTTCTAAACTAGTGTTATTCACCTTATTCAAACTTTTATTAGCTGTATTCTTGTTCCTTTCACCAAATGATGGTCTTTTGATTCCTGGTGGAATCTGCTCCTGGAAAATTATCAGTACATTGAAACACTTAGTGTTTGTAGTAAAAAATGCTGTTTTATCAGTATGCCGAAACACTAGGTGCTCATAGTAAAAGATGCTATTTTAATAGTGCATCAAAACACTTAGTGCTCATAGTATAAAATGGTATTTTATCAGTATATTGAAACACTAAGTGCTCACAGTAAAAGTTGCTATTTTTATCAGTACATCAAAACAATAAGTGCTCATAGTAAAAAGTGCTATTCCTAGTGATGCTACTACTAATTTCCCAAAACACTTATTCAAATTTATAAGCAAATAACTTAGCCCAACAGGAAAACTGGAGATGGTATAAATTAACAGACATACGTGAGAAATCATGACAAATTTTTGATTTAGCTTATTTTAATGCAACATCAGAATTACTTCAATCTTTATAGAACAGATCAATTATACAGACAGAAACTTTATAAATATGACTAGGATTGAGAAAGCTGCTGTTCCCTTATAAAAACATTAATGATTATAAATCTAAAATATCCATTACAGAAAATGTGAACTTTCTGCTATCACCAACTTTCTGGCTTCTAATACTTTTCTTAACTTTCTAGCTCTTTATATCAAACAATTTGTCAGTTACCCTAATTTTGTTCAATGCCTTACAGTTTTTTCTTCCATAATAAGGAAATTCACAAGACACTGTTAACACAACAGTAGTTCACAAGACATTGTTAAAAAGTAGTAATTATACCTCAGAGCATGCCTTGACAGAACAATCCTTGATAGCACATTTGCTATCATCTGGCCAGAAAGGACAGGCACGATTCAAGTTTACCTAAAAAAAAAGGGAAAGATTAACTCCTATGATTACAAACAGGGGTGCATTATTATGTGTTATAATCTAGTGTTGTTTCATGGTTTCAGTGGTTCCAAACCTGGTGTCTGCAAAGGTAATACCAGGGGTTTATGAGCTATTTTATTTAATTAAATAATGCATAGAAGGACACAGAATAATAACATGCAAAAAGCTGAGACGAGTTAACTATTAGTTAATAAAAATAGTTTGTTGTGTAGACAGAATCATTCAAAAACATGGGGATGGTGTGGAAAAAACTAATAATAAAGGGGTCCTTGATGGTGAAAAGATTGGGAACCACTGGTATAAATGTAGCATTTCTATTAAAATGTTTAAAAAGGTCTTATCATAATTATAATTCACTTGTATTTTCTAAAAGAATGTAGATCATAAGAGATGGGTACAAGTGTTCCCAGGTTGACTGTGTAAGTCTGTGGGATATCTTGGCAGTAGAAGGATTAATAAACATAAGAACCCTTCAACTGTCTACCGAAGTATAAAAATCTGCAGGTTTTTTAGTGGACTGCTTTGAATCTTATTTTCACAAGTGAAGGATAGTGTGTGGAGGTTTAAACTCAAACTATTTCACGATGCGTAAAACAAATTCATATCACATAACATCATTTATCTTCATTTCCAGCAATTATCACACACAAGTTAAGAAACTTCCATGGATGTATATGTAAAAGAGCTGTTTTGGAAGCCATTAAAAACCTTTGCTGAATTTCATGGTAATTAGTCTCTTGCCGACTATCAATTAAAATGGTTAGTCTACCAATTTCACTGTAAAAATCTTGACCAAATATTTATATAAAGGTATATAAAAATTGTGCTGCATGACACAGACCAAAAATGTTGAATAACTTTAATGAAAATTAAATAGGTCTTGCAAAAATAGAATATTAATTAAAACTTATTTTAACTTTGGACACAATTAGCATAACTTATGCTGCTACATACCTTGTACACAAGTCATACACATGGTTCACCTAATGCTTTTACAGCTTTTAACTAGTCAATGTTTTAGATTATTGCTGATTCACACACACACACATATATATATATATATATATACATATAGACTAGCTTATTTATTGCATAACAAATTATTTGGCCTTATGGTATTGTTAGACAAATACTTCATGTCATCTTCATAAAACAGTTACAAATATGTATTCATTCTGTTTGTATTAAATCATCAGTGGTATAATAGCAGAATAAGAAGTCAGTAAAAATTATTAGAGCATGAATGTTGTCAATTTTAACATGGAATAGCACTGCATCAATAGCTACAAGTGACATTAACCTTGGCATCCTGGAATACACTTGTGTGTTCATGCACCTTATTTTATAATTTTATTTTGAGTTAAAGATTAACCAGTATCAAATAAATTATCAATGAGGTTGTTTTCTATTCACTTAATAGGAAAGGAAAAAGGCTAAGGACACTTTTATTATTCCTTCATTAAATGAATTTGTGTATGTGTGACAGGAAACATTTAATTTTGAATAGCCTAAAAATCCTTTTCATTTGAAAAAAAGTCACAAACCAAAAACTGTACAAGTAATGACTATGTACTTATATATAATCTCTAGTTGTGATTTCATAAATAAAATAAACCATTCTTTAATTAAACAGTGTTCTATAAGCATAGTTGATCCACATCAGCATCATTTTATTAAAATCTGCTGCTGTTTATTTTAAGCAGAATATTTGTGTTTATTTATATTAATACAAATTAAATAGTTTCTAGTGTTATATATCATTACAAACATTCTTTTTTTTTTTACAAACTACTAGTCTAATTTTTTATTTCCTACAGAATAGTAGGTATTAGTCTTACCTTGAAATACCTGAAGTAATTTCGGACAAGCAAACTTTTGAGACGAGGATAGATTTTATTGTTGTTAAAAAAATCTACTGTATCCACACTACATGTGCAATCATCTATTCTTCCCTCAAGCTGGAGAAAAGAAATATATCCTTGAGAAGAATGGTAATTACTGAATTAAAGTACAAGAACAGAACACACAAGAAAAAGTTAATACTCACTATCACCTTCAAAAACTTAAAATTGTAAAAATATCTTAAATTTTAGAAAGTGCTCTCTAAAAATGGTGCAATATGCAATAATAGCAAATTAATTTGAATATCTATTCCTGTTTTCAAATATAGATGATCAAATAAGAGTTGGATTGTCTTTTGTATAACTAAAACTATCTGTAACTTGACAGTAGTCTATACACAATCTAAGAAAACATTTTATACTTAATATGCTTGCAAAATCTGCACTTTGAAACTGTTCTTCATGTCAACAAAACCAGGGAAACCTACATATTCTCAGCGTTTTTGTTTGAACAAATTAAGAAAACCTATATATTCTAAAACAATGTTCTTCAAGTCAAACACACAAGGAAAACATGTATATTCTAAAATAGTGTCCTTCATGTCGAACACACCAGGAAAATGTGCATATTCTAAAACAGTGTTCTTCATGTTGAACAAACCTATATCTTCTAAAACAAATGATGAACAAACCAGGATGGTTTACACAAAGGATCAATCTTGATGCTGAATAATCTAACAAATGTGTAATTAGAAATAATGTTTTATAATGGATAGACAAGTAATATTTCTATTTAAAACTAGGCTATGATTACTGGACCAATAAAGCTTGTCTGAAACTTAAATAATTCCAATATAATTTTTGCTTTTACAGCTAAATGCAACTGTACAATTTCCTGACAAGTTTTAAAAGCAGTATAATGACATAAGCATGTACACATTTACAAGTGTTTTATCACAATCATATTTTTACCTTTCATGTTGATGGTGTATATCAAACAATAAATTATACTGAAAAGCTAAATTCAATACAGTAACCATATGTTTAATTTAGTAGGCAATACATATAAAACATTCTTTGTTAAAACCTTTTCATACCAACTGAACATATTGGGTGTGTAACATACATCAATGTACATGTAACTCACCATTTGTATAAAGAATATGACTGTGTGTGCAAGCTGCAAAAGGAGACAGCAATTTGTCTATGCTACATGAATAACATCTTCTTGTCAACAAATGTGATTTGAAACAATACAAGAAACTCTCTACTTGGTGTATTTTTAGACCAAGACACTTTTTGTTAATTTTTATAGCAATAAATTAAACTCTCCTCATATTTCAGTTTCCTAGCTTACCTAGTTCAAAGCTCAAGATTTCACTAATACAGTCCCCCTTTTTTTTTCATGTAATGCAGTTAAACAGTTTCAGCACACTGATTGTCTTAAGAAACCAACAACAAATGGAATCGTTAAGTTTTAACATACAATAAGTGTTGACCACTAACTCTAACCTACTTATTGGTTACAAGAAAATAGTGGAAGAAAAAAGTGACACAGTTCAATCCTCTTGTGACAGTTTAGGAAAATAATTCACATTCTAGTTCTCTAGCTTACCTATTTCAACATTCAAGATTTTACTCATATGGTCCAAACAACTACAGTTGTTTCATATAACTGAATGTAGCCTAACTTATTCAAACCCACTGTACACACTGACTGTCCTGAAAATAAAGTTATTTCATATTACTAAATATAGGTTAACTCATTCAAACCCACTGTACACACTGACTGTTCTGAAAATAAAGTTATTTCATATTACTAAATATAGGTTAACTCATTCAAACCCACTGTACACACTGACTATCCTGAGAAATAATTTAACTTACTTCATATTACTGAATGTAGCCTACCTCATTCAAAACCACAGTATATACTGACTGTCCTGAAAATAGTTATTTCATATTACTGAATAAAGGCTAACTCATTCAAACCCACTGTACACACTGACTATCTTAAGGAAAAAGTCACTGTTATTTCAGATTACTTAATGTAAGCTAACACATCCAAAATTACTGTACACACTGACTGTCTTGAATTTCAAGCAAAGCTACCCAAGGGCTATATGCCCTAGCCATCCTTAATTGAACAGTGATAGACTAGAGGGAAGGCAGTTGGTCAACACCACCAACCATCAACTCTTGGACTACTTTTTTTTACCAATGAATAGTGAGATAGACCATAACACTATAACACCCCCAACGCTTAAAGAATGAGCATGTTCAGTGATGGGAATTCGAACCTACAACTTACAGATTAAGAGTCGAGCACCCTAACCACCAGATCTTTAAGAAAACAACTAGTTATTTGATATCACTGAATGTAGGTTAACTCATTGAAAACCACTGTATACACTGTCTTAAGGAAAGAACTGGTAATTCATGATTACTGAATATAGGTAACTCATTCAAAACTACTGTATATACTGACTGTCTTAAGGAAATTACTAGAGATATATGAGATTACTGAATGTATGCTAACTTATTCAAAACCGCTGCAATCAACTGAAGTTTGTAGAATAATTTTTGTGAGTAATAAGCTTTTCAAAAACTTATTGTTTTAGCCATGTTTAAATGAGTTTAAACTAAATTCAGAACAAAGAAGGTTGATTATCATGAACTACAATAGTGGTTCATAATAGGGATCATAAGGAATTGCACAAAACCCTAATAAAACGTTCAGCAAAAAAGCACCTTCAATATTAAAGACTCAGTTCAAACAACACTTTAAACCTTTACTATTGACTGCTAAGACTGTACACATATAAAAATGCACAAAAAAAAAGATCCATGTTAGACTTAGAAGGAAAAGGAAATCTGCTCAAAATGGCCCATTTCTAATTATTCTTATTCTCTTGCCAGCCTACAACAAAAACAGCTTCGTATAATGCACCCAAACTTTTCATAGAATACTAAATAAAGTACTGTAAAGGTCATAGCGGTATCGAAAAGTTCATTTGTTTCTTACATAAGCTAAAAAACATCATAATTCTAGTTATAATTACCCCTTGAAGTTAGCTTTCTTACAAATATCTGGTTTTCCTTAAAAAGCTAAAGTACAGGGTGAAACAGGAATTACCAGCCAATAATAGATGAACATTAGATGACTGTAACATGTAGATACTCAATGCTTTGTACACTATATAATCAGTGTCTCTAGGGGGCCAACCCCTATATTATGTATGAAATGGTGGAGTAAAAAAAATCAATACACATAATATTAATATTTATTACACACATTCATAGAATCATCAATTTAAAAGACACAAAGGTATATTTAAAGCAATGTTTCAGATATATGTGTTTCATTTGAAAAAGACTGCTTTTCTACTGGTAAAATTGTATATTCGCTTAGTGGGGGTTGTGTCTTCCTCTAGACATATTTTCTCATTGCTATGCATTATATAGAGAGAATCTACTTACACAGAAACTATAAAAGCTCACTATATTATCAAACAAATCTTCAACTGTAGCTTAACATTTTACATCTGAAACTAATGCAATCAAACAGTCAATAGCTACAGTAAATCATCATGAACTGTATCAGCTAGCTAGCTACTAGCTATGTTTATTATCATTACAATGTATAAAGTTAGCTACCATGTCAAGTAATTGTTTACCCATAGTTGAGCATAAAAAAAAAAAGCCAGCAAACAAGATAAATAAAAAATTGGGAATTTTAAAAACTTGCAAATAGGGATTGTACAGAAAAAGTAAGCAAACAAGGCTGGAGATAATGCAGACATTATTTACTCAAACTAAAAATTCCTATTCTGACTCCACCAAATGTAATTCTAAGTAACAGCATGGAGCCAAAACAGGGGGTTTGTAGTTTGAGTAAATAATGTCTACAGTATCTCCAGCCTTGTTTTCTTACTTTTTATGATCCCTATTTGCATTTAAGTTCCCAATTTTTTATTTATTTTGTGTTATATTTCAATGATTTTGGAGCCTCATCATGTCATTACAATCCATGTTTCCACATCCAAAAATGCTCTATCTGAAGAACAAATATTGTAACGATAGTCCTGTAGCATAGTTTTCACTGCTAAAGGCTCATTCTTAGGACTGTCATGTCCAAAGAATAACACTCTTTCAATCATGCTTTCCATAACCCATCTAGTATACAAAGGTGACAGTTTTCCATTACTTGTTTCAACAATCTGATAAAACACAGATCCATCAGCATTGCTTTCAGCAACTTAACCTGTATGTCTTCATTATGGATAGCATGAGTATCCATTTAATTATTCAGCTGTTTCAGATGTGTGTGAATGAATATGAGGTATGACTGGAAGCTATATCTTGTTTAACCCATACTCTATTGGTTTCATTGCAGCAGGAGATCCTTCTTGATTATGTTGCATGCTGTTGCCTGGGGAATGTGGATTGCTTTCACCATTGACCTTTGTGTTCATGGATTATCGCCTATAATAAAATGCTGTGCTATGCTTACCATGGATGTGGTATAAGATCCTTTTTCATTTGTTTTCCAATACAATTAAGTAAAAGGGATATTTCCATCTTAGAAATTCTAAATCTCCAATATGAATCGATCTTTATGATCTGAGTATATGAAAAATATTTTGTGTGGTAAAGGGCTATTACACACCCTTCCTGCAAGCGATCAAATTTCGGTGGTATCATACTACCTACGAACACCCAATATCAAAATGTAGTTCAAATAACACTCTGTTCAACCATGACGTTATATTGCTGTACCTGTCATGTAACATATAGAATTGCATATTCAGGTCGGTTTAATAAAGCGTACCCAACCCTCTATATTTTTTCACGAAGCATTTAGAAATAAATAAAACAATCAATAGATTAATGACTTTACTTATACCTAAGGAAGTAAGAAAAAGAAGAAATTCGTAAAATGCTAACTACAAGATCATTTTTAATTCGATGTAAGCATTCAAATTTCGAGGCAACGATCATTTGTCACGAGCGGAATTTACAAACTTTTTTTTAATATACAAACACGCACATTTATAATTATATTTCAGTGATTTCCTAACAAACAAAATGACAATGTTTATTGGTTAAAATTTCAT